TCTCGGCGGAGAGGTTACCCAGAGTATTTTTCAAATAATGAATGCAATCGATGTAATCACTTGGAGTCTTTGTACACTGTTGATAATTTTTGGACGGACTGTCAAAGAATTTCGTCATTGAAAATTGAAAATTTTAGGAAAAAACCAGTAGAAACTGCAAACTTCGGTTCCATTATTCCATTAATCTTGAGAGAATTAATTTCATTTCAATTCATTTCAATTCATTTCATTTTGTTTCATTTCATTCCAAACGGACCCAACAGAACACGGCCAATTATAAGATCAAAATCAAATAGACATAAAATATAACAATCAAAAGCAATGTAATGCTAGTAGGAAAGAAATGTGAATAACAAAAAATATATATAGAACAATAAAATTGATAAAATCAACACTTCTAACGGACAGCATTATTTTTTATATTTAAAAAATCCCTAGACTACTTAATTACCCAAATCCCTTGATAATAAACATTGTCAAACTTTTTGCTAAATGTTCTTTGTTTTGTTGTTCTTTTTTTAATTATTTAATTACATTATAGTTGTTTTTGATTGCTTTTGCACTGCCATGTTTATTACATCACTCATTTATTCATTTACTCATTCCATCATTTATTATTTTCATTCTACAGAAATAGAGTTTCTGGAGATAAATTTGTTGAGCGACTTGCAGGCGTGACGGAGAGGAGAGGACAAAGATTAATTTTTGTATTTAATCAGTTTTTTAATTAATCAATTAATTAAAAAATATAATACAATAATATAGTAATTAATGAATTCTCTCATTAATTCAAAATAATTCACGATGTTTTGTAGTTATCCAAGGAATCATTCCAACGGCGTCATCTCCAATCCCATTTATCTCCACTGGTCAGGCTCACACTCCACGAAATCCCGAAAACCCCAGAAGTTTTGTTACCTCAACAATATCGACCCCAAAAAAACTTTTTCAGTGAAGTTTCATCACAAGCCTCAATTCTCTGGTCTACTTTTCCACTGAGTAAGTCCCTTCCTTTATTCTTTTTTGACTCTCGGCGCGGCAGAAACAGACCACCATGAATAAAACATGGTGAATCCCGAAAGAATTCATAAAGACACGTTCGAATTTACGACAACCGATAAATATTCTCAGCGGTAGTTTTCATTAGGCCTGCCGACTTAATAAGTTTGTTATTCTCCCTCGTAGTTTTCGAAGAGAAATTAGTCTAAATTTCAAAGGCCCCGAGGGGGGTCCGCCAGCGAAATAAAAGAATTATAACTAAGTTGGATAATCAACTGTTGGAGAGTTGTTTCTTGCAGTGTAAATAGAGAATTGAGAAGACAGGGGTTAAGGGCCGGGTGCTAACGAGAACATGAGATATTGTTCCTGGAAGAGACTAATCGGACATTCCGCTGGTGTTGGTGAGAGGGGAATTAATGTGACCAATGTTTCGGAGTCCTTTGGAAATATATGGGGAGAAACGGTGGATGAAAATTACTTAGAAAATGGTGGCAAAATTTACTGTACGAATGGTAATCGTGGAGCGAAATGCACTGTTGGAAAAAATAATTAAATTTCATGGACACACTTTTAGATTTTTGTTGATATTTCATGGAAAATGTGATGGTAATTCTCGTGAGAGTGGCATTGAATCCGATTTAGGAGAAAAAATTAAATTTCATGGACACACTTTAAAATTTGTTTCGAAATTTCATGGAAAATGTAATAGTAATTGTCGTGAAAGTGACATTGAATCCGATTTGGGGGAAAAAATTAAATTTCAGGGACACACTTTTAGATTTGTTTTGAAATTTCATGGAAAATGTGATAGTAATTTTCGTGAGAGTGACGTTGAATCCGATTTAGGGGAAAAATGAAATTTCATGGACACACTTTTAGATTTTTTTTGAAATTTTATGGAAAATGTGATTTAGGCGATGAAATCATGAAATTTCGGGTTTCACTGAAAATTCAGTAAAATTCCAGAATTTTAAGCAGCAGAAAGATGAGAATTCCTTAATTCATTTGAATTTCCTATCTAATATGACTATCCAGTGCCAAAAGACATTGAATTTTCAGTGAAATCCGACATTTCATTATTTTCCCCCCTAACTCGCATTTACTGTCACTATCCCAAAAATTTAAGAATTCATTTGGCAGGGAAAAATGGAACTGAACTTTCAATTTTTTCGCGAAACTCTGAATTTCTAATGACGAAATTCCTTGAAATTTCAGTGATAATTCAATTCGATAAAAATCTCCGAAAAGTGTACCGTAAATTTCAGACAAATTTTTTTAACAGTGCGCTTCGTTACTAAAATCCGTTCCTTTTGATGAAAAATTGTGGACAGAATTAATTCCCCCCCCCCCACCTTATGTGCACTTATAATCCCCCAACATTACCTCATGGCTCGATTTTCATCGGAATAACGGCTTGCCGCCGATATTAAAACCGCTGGAAAAATCATTACATCTCGCCATGGGAGACCAATGTTGGCCACATATTACCCACCCTCCGCCGCATCGAAGCACCTAGGGTTGTAACGACGCTATACACTGAACTATATGACCCCAATTGTGCTCGTAAAACTCTATTATACCCGCGCCTATAAAATGAGCTTTACCGGGAAATAGTGATGGACATCATTTGTTCCCGGAAGAAACTACATATCGAAAATCCTTCGTACTAAATGGAGTCAACCATAAAACGAAAATAATATCACGTATCAGTTTTCAGTTTCACTAGCCTTCATGCTTCTTCGTGCATCCGCAAGTTCGTTAATTTTTTCCCCGATGCTGAATATGCATCGGACATTCATCTTAAAGTGAAGGATATCGTGCGCATGTTCACACCTGCATATGAAATGAACGGAATTCACATTCTCCTTAGCATAATCGCGGCATTGCCGACGAGTTGTGCGATGTCACGAATGTCCACAGCGCACATCGCGATGTTTGATGAAAATGTTTGCAGTTTTGAATGCCATCATCTGCTCCGGGAAACTCTGATTCAGGGGTTTGTTCGGTTACACTGAGAACAAAAATTATTTTTGCCGAGTATCCATTTACTTAAGAGTAGTATTCATTTTTTCAATACATAGAGAGCAATATTTAGTAAAAATTACGAAACTCACAATTCGCTTACCGATTACGGAATCGACTCAGAAAATGTAAGTTACGGTATCGTAATTTTTCATAGGAGATTCAGATAAACATTACGGAACGCTTTGGAAAATTTCCGTAGCAGTTCCGTAAAATTTTCTACAACCACATTTCGCTCCGGAATTACGGAAAAGATACGTAATTTTTATTACATATTTCTCTCCGCGTACCGTATTCCTCCATTCGCGTCATTCTGAGGCAATTATGAAGCTCCAGAAGATGATCATGTTAGTTATAACATCGAGTGAACTGCTTCAATAATTGTCAACATTAAAAAATGAATCGTAATTCTGCTCTTTAGACGATAAGAAATTGAGGAAAGATGAATAATTATTATAGGAGTTTATCGAAGGTCATGTGCAACATAGTTATTCTCTAGAGCAACATGATTGTTATCATTGAAACCTAATCGGGTTCGGCTGGGAATGACTCGTTTGGAGATCTACGATTTTGAAAAAAATAAATGCTTCGCTCAAGTAAATGAATATTTGGCAAATTTTTTTTTTTCAGTGTAGTCTTTGGGGATCTGCAAATTACTGGTGATAGTCCTCCAAGGCCTACACTGTCAAGGATTTTTGGTTGCAATTTCTGGTAGACTTCTTGGAATTTTTCATCGAGCGGCACTGAACATTCACAATTGCAATGTAAAAACTAGTGTCTTCAAGACGTGTTTTCATAATATCGTGGAATAAAAGTCACTAAATTTAAGACATTTTTTTTGTCTCAACTCATAATACTTGATGATTGTTCATTCATTAAGCATTTACAGCAATTAATCCCGTTGAGTAGAATTAACTCCCATATTTTCTTCAAAATTACTTAAAGGGGCATAATAAGTCGGGAAATTTCTGTAAGATTTTACTTCTTCAGGAAAAATTACGTGACAATTTTTTACTTTCTTCGGTGATTCACCTGAGAATTCACTGAACATTTCAGATTTCTTCTCTTCCGTTCCTATAAAAATGACTGGAAATCGATTTCCCATTGCGGTTTACGTAAATTGTTCCGTAACTTTTACAGAATATTTTTCGCCGTGTAGAGAAAAGCAAGTGAAAAACCTCATTCGATTTCAGACATTAGTTTTCCTGGTGTTGATTCTGGGAAAATTAGGTAAATAAATTCCTGCCATTTGAATGCACTGAAAATTTGGGGTTCTATTCAATTAATCAGTGAGATTTACAATTCCGCTGAAATAAAAAAGGGCAAATCATTCCAACTATATCAAACTTTCAATCATCTCAACAACAAATTATTCATTCCTTACAATTCCACCATTTCCATTGCGGATTACGTGAATTGTTCCGTAATTTTTACTGAATATTTCTCTCCGTGTAAAGAAAAGCAAGTGAAAACCCTAATTCGTTTTCCTGGTGTTGACATTTAAATGTACTGAAAATTTGGGATTCTACTCAATTAATCAGTGACATTTACAATTCCGCTGAAATAAAAAAGGGCAAATCATTCCAACTATATCAAACTTTCAATCATCTCAACAACAAATTATTCATTCCTTACAATTCCACCATTTCCATTGAAATGAATACACAAGTTTATCAATTTTCAATAAAATATTGCCGACACGACCGGGAAAATTGCAAATAAACGTTTGTTCAATTTGCCTGCCATTCCCTGGGGGAATGCCACCTGATGCACTTCCTCTATCGCGCGAATATCACCACGAAGTTCAAAACCAAGGATAAAATGTCAACACACCTTTCATCGTGTCCACACACACGACAGAACCTTCCTCATGGATAGCATTATCACCAAGGAAAATCCACCGAGTCAACACCACAATGATCATCCATAATCGTTATCGCGAAAAAAAATGGATGGAAAGTGTCTGTAAACGACTCGAACGTCAGTGCATGGTTACTGGTCATGGAATACAGACATCTACTCACCGTAATAATAGCATTGTGGGCGAGCCAGGAATCGCTGGCGGGGCCTGAAGTCGTGGTAAATGATGGAGTGATTTCGGGAACTGTGACAGTCACTCGTCGTGGGAGGAGTGTTCTCGCTTTTCGGGGTATACCGTACGCAAAGGCGCCGGTTGGCCCACTCAGGTGCGCTCTATTTCATAATTTTTTCGATATGAAATGCACAATTTTCGATTGAATATCGCACAGGAAAAAATTTATATACTGATAGAAGGATTTAGTTGTTAACCAGTCTTCTTAACTATTACCACATTAACAACAGAAATCCAATAGAATTTGCCGAGGGGCTATTCAGAGGCAAGTTGGGTGACACCGCGATTACAAAATGTAATCGATTACCCAGGATTACGGGACTGATTGCACTGATTATCATTGCCTATGTGATAACCGTGATTACCAAGAGCACAGAATGTGATTACATCATTACAAATGATTTCGTCGATTACATTCTGTGATTACCAAACATCTGTAATCATGGAAATCACAAAAAATGGCCTCTTATTAATATGAATTGATAGGATAATTAATTATTAAAACGTGCAAAAAAATGAAGAAGGAGGGGCGGGGATTAGAACAGAGGAATGCAGTTTCCATCACTCCATCTAGAAAATTGGGCATTTATAAGTGCTATAAGCAAAATAAATCTACTGAATATCTACCATTAATGGAGAATGAAACTTACCAGCAGATAATTCAGAGATAATTTAGTAGTTGGTTCTCCAGAATAAGAAGAAATATTAACTCTATTATATTAAAAAAAATATTAAATTGATCCAGGGATCTCTGAGACTTACCGTTGGTAGAAATGACGCCTCGAAAATTCAAAAACTAAATTCACGGTCTCACTAGGAGCAACTACGAAAGATTACACTAATTACAAATTATTACCACTTGATTACCAAAACTTGATTACAAATATGATAATCATGTGATTACAATGATTACATTGATTTCACTTTAGCGAGTGACACCACGATTACGCCTGCGAATGTTACCTATCCAAATCTGTTCTGTTCGGACTGCTATATTTTTTCTTCTATTTTAATTCAGTTGATTCAGCTAAGTCAGTTGACTCAAAAGTTAATGCAAAAATGATAAAAGAAATAATTATAGATAATGGAATAGAATAAGAAAGCTGAAAAACTTGAAAATATAAAAAACTAAAAAATTAGAAAACTGCTAGCGAATTTGCCTGATGTTTCTGTGATTTTTTTTTGAATGAGATCATTTGGAATTTATTCCTGCTCCGCAGGTTCAGGAATCCTGAACCTGTTGAGCCCTGGAGTGGAACGTTCTATGCGGACAAGGACCCAGAACCCTGTCCCCAGATCACTGATGATGGCGATGCTGTTGGTGACGAGGACTGTCTGAAGCTCAGTGTCTACACGCCGAAGGTAATACCTGAAAAGGAAAAATATCGTTCTTTCATTGAGGTAATTGTGCCTGTGCTGTCGCTATTGCCGTTGAGATGCCGTCAGATATCCCATTTTAAGAATTGCAATCATTTTAAGGATTTTAAAAATCCCCTATGCCCTATAAAAAAATCTGGATTTCAAACTCATTTTGATAGAAACATCGAACTAATAAAAAATATTGAGTCCCTTGAAAAAAGGCGTTTTCAAAATGAAATGGGAGGATAGAAAATTAAATGTGTCAATACAATAAAATGAGAAATAAATAAATGGTCGTGACGGTTTCTTCAAGAAATCTCCTGATTTCTCGATGATTTGGTAATATAATCGTCTGCCGACGAACTCTGGCATTTCTTCGTCATGATGAATGTGAGGGAATGCTCCTTCTTTTGTACTTAATTCAGGGTAAATTTCATCATTTCACTACGAAAACATCTGACACCAATTGAAACGCATGGGTATTAATAAAACGGAACAATAAAAATTTAAATGTGTCAAGCGCAAGCGCTCGGGGTTTTTTAACCTACAAAACTTGACACCCTCATTTGTTTGCAACGAAGCTATCGAGGAATACCCAATAATTTTGAAGCTCTTGGGGTATTACTACTGAATATTTCTCTCTGTGTAAATAAAAATGAGTTAAATGTCAATCTCCAGACAGATCCAGACGATCTCCTCCCAGTAATGGTGTACATCCACGGTGGTGAATTCGTCCGAGGCGACATATCCTTTCCCGCCGTAGGTCCTGGTTTTCTTCTCGATCACGACGTGCTACTGGTGGCGATGCAGTACCGCCTCGGTGTTCTCGGTTTCATCAGCACAGGCGATAAAATAGCGCCCGGTAATTTCGGATTAAAGGATCAAGTGCTCGCGCTACGCTGGGTCCAGGACAACATCAAGAACTTTGGCGGTGATCCAGGCAGAGTGACATTATTCGGTCAGAGTGCAGGCGGCGTCAGCGTTAACTTGCATGTTCTCTCAAACTCATCCAAAGGTGTGTTCCATCCGCACGTATTGCACATGAATCAAAATGCAGTTTGAATGATCCCATTATTGCACTGATATCCCCCAATTTCACGGAGCTGAGGATAATGCGTTCAACGAATTCCCATCAATCCGTCCATCACCCGAGACGCTGACGTATTTTCGTTGCAGGATTGTTCCATCAGTTCATAACACAGAGTGGAAGTGCGCTGTGTCCGTGGGCATTCGAAGATTCAACGACATACAAAGGCTATTCATTCGCACTTGGGGAGGGTTTCGGGTGTCCGACAAGCCCCACGGAAGAGCTCATCGACTGTTTGCGGAATGTGGAGGCTGGGGTTTTGGTAAATAATTACGATGCGTTCGTGGATTTTCGAAGGGAGAGCACCGTCACTTGGATGCCAACAAGGGAACCCGATATTGAAGGCGCGTTCCTCACTGATCTTCCGATCAATCTCATCTTGAGGAGCAGAATGCAGGACCTGCCCAATATCAGCGGTGTCGTCAAGAACGACGGCCTCATTCTCACGATATGTTAGTAGGTTTTGGGATCACGGAGAGAAATTTTTTAGAAAAATTCTGGTATGAGTACTGAAAACAATCACAACCCCCGGTTGTAAAAAATTCTAGTGCTGTTAAGGTCAAATTTCTCAGAATTTCCGGTAAAATTTATGGGGATTTCTGTGAAATTTTCACAGAAATACGGGGAAAAATTCACGTTTTCCCAAATAAAATTTCCAGTACCAGCACGGGAATTGTTCCCTGGCCATCACTTTGCGCCTCTTTTACCGTGCTAGCACTAGAATTTTTCTAAAAAATTTCTCTCCATGATGTCATCGTTTTTGAGGATATGGTAGGGAATTTGGGTGTGAATGGTTACGGGTCATTTTTAGTGATGATAGGGAGTCATTGTAATCATTGAAATCAAGAACGATTAGAATAATTACAAAAACTTCGCCATCTCTCTTAGATTCGGAGATATTCCTCAAAAACTCAGTCGTCTGTCCGCTTCGATATCAAAATATCGAATACCTCAACTTCAATTTTCGATTTTGAATTGATCACCGGCAATTCAATTACATGATTTCCACGATCAGAACGACTTGATTAAATTCCGTCTCTACCATATCCTCCAAATGGGGCATTATTTCATTACAACTGTCCCATTAACTCCTTCTAATCCACAAAATTTAATAGTTTTATATGCAAATGCCACGCTGTACGACTCGCTCCTCGGTGATTTGGATTCCCTCTTCACTCATATATCATCGTCCTATTTCAGTGATAGTAGAGCAGCAACACTTGCCGCTGCAGTGAAGGACTTCTACTTCAGGGGTATCGACGTGAAGAATAAAACACAAGTACGCGGTCACCTACGCTTTCAAGATAATGGGGTACATTGTTCGATAACAAGTTGACGTTACCGCGCATTTCAGGTGCTGGGGACAATAACGGATATCATTAGTGATTCATCATTTCTGTTCCCGCAAATTCTGCAGTTGCAGTTGGTGACGAAAAAGATGAAGAGCCCACATTATCACTACAGCTTTGAGTACCGCGGGACGTTTAGCGAAACTTCCACTATCTTGAAGAATAATGAGAATGTCGGGGTTCAACATGGCGATGATCTTATTTATATTTTTCCGAGTGACTTTAGCAGTTTTGGGGTGGCTGAGAGCAGCTTCAGTGAGGAGGATGAGAGGATGATTGATATTGTCACGGAATTGTGGACTTCGTTTGCCATAAATGGGTGAGTTTATCTGCATTTGGTGTCTGTCTCTCCCTGATTTATCTTCTATTGTTTATTGAAAATTTACACCAAGCGATAGTTCCAGTGAAATTTCAGCGAATTTTGAAACTAAGAATTCCGAATTGAATGAAAAAATCTATGGAAACTGCAAATTTCGGGTCAATTATTCCCTGAAAATTAATACAAATGGGGAAAATTTGGGAAAATCTTTAGTTTTTTAATTAATTGAAAGTTGAGGTCAGTGAGGCAATTTTTGACTATCTGTTGCTCAAAAATTTTCAATTATTTTCAACTCCTTCTCGAAAATTTGTATCAAGTGACAGTTTCACTGAAATTTCGAGGAATTTGGAAATTAAAAATCGTAAATTGAATGAAAAGGTCAATGAGAACTGTAAATTGCAGTTCAATTATTCCCTAAAAATTAATAAAAATGGGGAAAATTCAGGAAAATCTTTGGTTTTTTAATTAATTGACAATTGAAATCAGTTAGAGAAGTCTCATGTTCCTGTTGCTCAAAAATGATTATTAACGGACAGTTTCACTGAAATTTCAGTGAATTTTGAAACTAAAAATCTCCAATTGAATGAAAAATCAATGAAAACTGCAAATTTCACTTCAATTATTCCATGAAAATTGATATAACTGGTCATAATTCATGGAAATATGACCTTAAATGTTCAATCAATTAAAAATCAACATAAGTTGGACACATCTCGTCTTCCTGCTGCTCAAAAATTAGTAATTCCATTGATGTCTACAATTCAAATTTTTTAAACAGTTGACCCAGACTTTATTCGGCATACTGTTGACACCTAAACTCCACTAAAATTTTTTTCACATCCATAATACGGGTTGACCTTTCTATTCAATCTTCTAATGTCCCCCCACGATTGCCAAAACATTACCTAACAACGTGGGTGGACAATTTCTGGGCGGGTTCAGCATTGTTTCATTGAGCCGCACGGTCGGCCATAAAAATGTCACTCCGAAGGTAATGTTTACCCATTCGAACACTGTTTCTTCGATCAAGGGTGCCCACAACAAGTTACGCAAGGAAATCAGATCTGTGGGAGACGTACAACGACCGGACGAACACACAGCTGCTGATTGGGTCAGGATCCGAGGCGACAGTGGGAACCGTTCACCATTACTTAGAGCGGCGCATGCACTTCTGGGCGATGGAAATCCTCAAGATAGTATTTTTCTCCGGATAGAAGTCCCCCGGACTGTTATTGTTTACTTTGAATACAGTATTTGCTCAATAAAATATTCCCCATGCCCGAACGCTTTCTCGTCTTTTCATTCCCCGCCACAAAAATTCGATTTACTAAATATGCGAGTCATAAAGGATTGATGCATTGTGAAATCTCCATTTTTCACTTTTAATCATTCGAAATAGCTTTCCCTAGGACGCCGGTGGGTAAAAGGTTACATTCGGAGACGAACAATTTCACCGGTTTCATAATGTTATGATGGCCCCAAAAATTCGTAACCGAATCTTCTCATNGGGAAAATTCAGGAAAATCTTTGGTTTTTTAATTAATTGACAATTGAAATCAGTTAGAGAAGTCTCATGTTCCTGTTGCTCAAAAATGATTATTAACGGACAGTTTCACTGAAATTTCAGTGAATTTTGAAACTAAAAATCTCCAATTGAATGAAAAATCAATGAAAACTGCAAATTTCACTTCAATTATTCCATGAAAATTGATATAACTGGTCATAATTCATGGAAATATGACCTTAAATGTTCAATCAATTAAAAATCAACATAAGTTGGACACATCTCGTCTTCCTGCTGCTCAAAAATTAGTAATTCCATTGATGTCTACAATTCAAATTTTTTAAACAGTTGACCCAGACTTTATTCGGCATACTGTTGACACCTAAACTCCACTAAAATTTTTTTCACATCCATAATACGGGTTGACCTTTCTATTCAATCTTCTAATGTCCCCCCACGATTGCCAAAACATTACCTAACAACGTGGGTGGACAATTTCTGGGCGGGTTCAGCATTGTTTCATTGAGCCGCACGGTCGGCCATAAAAATGTCACTCCGAAGGTAATGTTTACCCATTCGAACACTGTTTCTTCGATCAAGGGTGCCCACAACAAGTTACGCAAGGAAATCAGATCTGTGGGAGACGTACAACGACCGGACGAACACACAGCTGCTGATTGGGTCAGGATCCGAGGCGACAGTGGGAACCGTTCACCATTACTTAGAGCGGCGCATGCACTTCTGGGCGATGGAAATCCTCAAGATAGTATTTTTCTCCGGATAGAAGTCCCCCGGACTGTTATTGTTTACTTTGAATACAGTATTTGCTCAATAAAATATTCCCCATGCCCGAACGCTTTCTCGTCTTTTCATTCCCCGCCACAAAAATTCGATTTACTAAATATGCGAGTCATAAAGGATTGATGCATTGTGAAATCTCCATTTTTCACTTTTAATCATTCGAAATAGCTTTCCCTAGGACGCCGGTGGGTAAAAGGTTACATTCGGAGACGAACAATTTCACCGGTTTCATAATGTTATGATGGCCCCAAAAATTCGTAACCGAATCTTCTCATTTTCTCTCTATATTATAAAAATCCAAATCGACTTCTGGTGATGAAAATTTGGTACTCGAAATTAAGGGTCATGAGGGTCAGGATAAAGGTCACGAGGGTCAGAATAAGGGCTATGAGGATCAGATTAAGGGTCATAAGGGTCAGAATCGAGGCATGAGGGTCAGAATAAAGATCGCGAAGGTCAGAATAGAGGCATGAGGGTCAGAATAAGGGCCATGAAAGTCAGATTAAATATCATAAGGCTCAGAATAGGAGCTATGAGGGTCAGATTAGGGGTCATGAGGATCAGAATAGACATGAGGGTCAGAATAAGGGACATGAAAGTCAGATTAAGTCATGAGGGTCAGAATAAAGGTCACGAAGGTCAGAATAAGGGCCATGAGGGTCAGAATAAAAGCCATGAGAGTCAGATTAAATGTCATAAGGGTCAGAATAGGGGCTATGAGGGTCAGATTAGAGGTCATGAGGATCAGAATAGAGGCATGAGGGCCAAAATAAGGGACATGAGGGTCGGATTAAGTCATGAGGGACAAAATAAAGGTCACGAGAGTCAGAATAAGGGTCATGAGGGTCAGATTACGGTTCATGAGAATCAGAATAGAGGCATGAGGGTCTGAATAAGAGCCATGGGGGTTAGATTGAGAGGAATGGCGGCCAGAATACGGGTCACGAGGATCAAATTAAAGATTATGAGCGTCATATGAGGGTCATCTGTGGGTTATATGGGGCTTGGCGAGCGAAGCGAGCAGGCGGCGTAGTCTCTTAGTATTATAAATAAATGGAAATAAAATGATCAATGAAATGACACGTGTAACAATTTACGAACATCAAATTGGACTTCGTATTTTCCTGAAATTTCGAATTTTCAGATGAGAATGTATTTAGGGAAGAGTATCAAAACCAGCGAGGTTTATCGAACACAGAACGATGAAAATTATATCCTTTTACTCCTGTGAGTTGATCAAACAGTTTCCCATCCTCCAGTTTCACGTTCACTTGCATCTCCAGAAACTCCACTTCATCACAAAGCTAATGACCCAGTACCCCGCCACCGAAAACCAACAGCACCTTCCCCCCCCCCATATCTTTTGCACATTCTCGCCCACTCGAGGTAAATTGAACCTATCCCCGGGGCCACGCAGCATCTCATACTAAACTCAACGATAACGTGTCCAGTCCCTCCTCTGCATAAGTATACCCTTGTCCGTACCAACTGTGCCATCACAAGCCACATTAGTAATTATACTGTTCATATTGATCATCGAGTCTCATCAACCGTATTTGCTACACCACATTCATTCCTACGGGCTCCACACGGGATGCGCAGGGCGCGTCGTGACGGATAGCACGGAAATCTGGTATTCAAATGTCTCTCGATTGCAATGCTAATGTTTTTTTAACCATATGTGGTTAAATGGAATGTATGTTGTTACGAACAATGTTTATGTATCATTTTTATGTCTTTATCCATCATTTTGCATTGTTCACGGAGAATTATGAGGAGAACGGGCGGTTGTGCTAAATACAAATGAACGATTTTGGAATTGATGATTTAAAAATCATCAATTCCAAAATCGTTCATTTAAAAAAAAACATGAACATGTAAACATTAAAAAAATATATGAATTTTTTATTCAATTATTTATGAACAATTCGGAGTAAAATTTCATAATTTTTTTTCTTTAAAAAAAAATTGTGGAAAAATTGTAATTTCAGAATGACGTGTGACATCATCATCCCATTCTGGCAAAAATATTTAATGATTTTTATAAAATAAAAAAAAAGATAAAATTTTGGAACATATCCTTGTCCTCAATAGAAAATAATATATAAATTCATTTTAATAAAATCGATTCTATCGTGATTTGTTACTCCAACAAATTTTTTGTCATTTGGGAAAATGACAAAAACATGATAAAATAATGAACATATTATACTATGGTATAAAAAGAATGTATTAAGATCCCTCTTGATCACTTCTTCCCAAGAAAAATGAACACAATTCATTACGAATGATATACAGCCATTCCTCAACAAACACTTAATCACTCATGAGTAAATTCATCTACCTAGAAGTATCCATAATATTTACAACATCATTTTTATCATGTTCGACAGCGTGTACTTCAACCACAATCTCGAGAGGTAATTGGCTGCATCATTCACGTCAAACAGTCAATTTATGTGTAGTCTTCCTGTTATGCATTTCGTCGGTTAAAAGCCCTGGAGCCACAGTCGCGCATTGCGCCATCAACCTTTGACACTGCCTTCCGATCGTACACAGCCTTGAACTTAGCTCATATCTAGGCACTGCATACATCCACTTAATCCACCCTCTCCACCCTGAGGGGATATTTCATCGACCGCATTGCTTGCCTGCTGCTGTCACAGAGTCAAATGTTTAGAAGTTCGGATCATCAAGTTGCAATGTCACCGGAGAAACTAAATCATTTTATTCTGAATTTTCCCCTTTGTAAACGCTAGGGATTTGACAACCCCCTGAATTTAATTCGTCAGGTGGCAAAAAAATATCTGAAGGATTGAAAGTTTATATTCGGAATTAACGACCACACATTTATTCCAACAGGTGTTTTAATTCGTATTATTGCGGTGCGTAATGTACCCTGAGTTCTCGCATTTCACAACTCAACATACAAGAGATTAAGCCAGCCGCTTGTGCCGACAAGGATATGATTTGTATCTATATTATAAAAATCTGAATCGACTTCTGGTGATGGAAATTTGACACCCGAAATGAAGACTACGATTTTAATTTGACCCTTAATTTTAGACTCTTAATGTTAATTTTGACCCTTAGTTTCTGACGTTTCATTTTTGTGAGTCACCAGGGTCAGATTAGGGATTACAAGGACCAGATTACGGATTACAAGGGTCACGAGGGTCAAGGGAGTCAAGATAAGGGTCATGGGGGTCAAATTCATTGTCACAATAGGGATCATGGGGGGTAAAAATAAGGGTTTCGAGGGTTAGATCGAAGGTCTCAAGGGTCAGCAAAGGATTCAAAATCAGGGTCATGAGGGTCAAAATAAGGCTCATAGGGGTCACATGTGGGTTGACAAGCGGGGGGCGTAGCCTTCTAGTTTGTAATAATAATAATGATAATAATAATAATAATAATAATAATAATAATAATAATAATAATATTCCTATGAATCAGAATAATAAGAGTGATGATAATATCATTATTATGAAATTAAAAAAAAGATTTATAAATGAGAAATTGACCAATAATCACTGCATAACCGTTTAAAATATCGAATTTCGTTATCATACGCTGGAATTTAAATGCATCCAGCACCACCAACATATTATGCAACTATTTGGCACATAAAAAACAAGTGAAGAAAATCACGCAAGAGGTATAAAAAAGAAAACGTGGTTACTACTGCGCTCGGTATTTTCGGGAGAGTTTTATGGGTAGCGCACACCTCTCCAAGGATATTACGCTCAAGAGTGTCAAGGATGATGCGCCTCGGAAGCTGAAACTCCCCCCTCCGGCAATTATCACGTTCGTCGATCAAATTTATACGAGCTGTTTTGGGAATATGTTTGATGATGAATAATGAAAATCATTGGGTTGATTTATGGGTTTCGATGAGCAGGTGAGTGGGGGATTTATTCCGGCTTTCGTCGCGGAGTTTCATTTGCGGCGAATAATTAATGGGAAAATTTTAATTATTTTT